TGTAGAAATCGACCCCACGAGAATATGGTTTTATTACTGGGAAGCATTTATTGATGTGACGCTCATGTCTGTTCACATCATGCTCCTCGACTTTTCAGCCGGTCGACAGTTCCCTCTGGTCTCTGGCTTCACTGTATATAAAGGGAGAAGCCTCATTAGACCGATTGCTGCCACCTGTCCCTGCAGCCTCCTTGGTACTGCCCCCTTGAACTCACTGGCCCACTCCTCCCCTGCAGCTGAGCCAGGGACCACGCCTCCTGCACAGTAGCTTTCACTCTAACTTTAAATATGAGGTCCAAAGAAAAAGTTAAGGAGGTAAACATTAGGCTGAAAATCCCAAAGGAACGTTTTTCTTCAAAAGAAGGAGTGCACTGACCAGCTCAGCAGAGCCAAAAGGCACAGAAGACCACAGGAGACAACTAAAGTAGATGGCAGCAAAATTCCTTCCCCTTCAAGAAAAAATGCCTTGATCGCTAATCTAGCCACATCAAGAACACTCTCGTCAAAGTGTAAATTCAAGAAAGGAATTGATGATTTGAATACTGCTTGGAATAGCAGGATGAAGTGTACAAGGCTACACTCTCTGCTCACATTCAGCCAAATGCTGCAAAAATGATCAGGCGGCCCTTCACGGTGCAAATGGATAATGACCCAAAACATTCTGAAAAACAACCCAAGAGTTTCTCAAGGCAAAGAAATGGGATATTCTTCAGTGACAAAGTCATTCACCTAATCTCTATTCAATAGAGCGTGTTTTTCAGTTAGAAAAGACAAAACTGAGAAGGACCCACAAATACACAATAACTGAGGATTGTCATACAAGATTTAAAAACAAGTCCATATGTTTAAATGAAATGAAATGAAATTTTAGTTATATAGCTCCAAATCACAACATGTGTAACCTCAAGGAGCTTTAAGGTAAAGACCCCACAATAATACAGAGAAAACCCCAACAATGAAATGACCTCCTTTGAGCAAGTACTTGGCAACAGTGAGAAGGAAAAACTCCCTTTTAACAGGAAAAAACCTCTTCAATTAACACTTCAGTTGGGCCTTGATTGTTTAAAATCTACTGTGGTGATGTAAGGAGTCATAATTAACAAAAATACTTGAGTGTCTATAAATGTGTAAACCTAACTGTAAATGTTTATTTTATTCAAGACAAAAGCTGATCTGTTGTTGGGGAAAAAACAAGCAAACAACAAGTAAAGAGTTGTAGATAGGTGAGGGTTAGTGTGGACTGGCAGGTGATTCCTCTCCCCTTGTGAAGAGTCAGACTAGGTAAGCTAAGCTAATCGACCACTGGCCTTTATGTTTAGTCCTGACACCCGAGAGTGATAGACTTTTTTGCTCACAAACAAAAACAGTAACACAACTTTGTACTAAGTGAAAATGCGTTTGTTTAAAGGGCTAAAGTTATCGTGTCATATATGAGTTTGTCTTTGATCCACTTTCTGCTGAACCTTTGGGCTTGTGGTAAATGGTTCTGGTTAAGGGAGCTAAGAACTTCAGCACTTTCATTGTTTTTCAGAAACCTTCTTCCTTCCAAGGCTGCTGGATTAGTGACTTCTCTTTGTTCACTTCTAGAGATCACACAAAACTCAGACAAAGGAAAGGAAGGAAGGAAAGTAAATTCACAAATAAAACAAACCCATTTTTATAATTTTATTGTGTTTATCAATATGTTACTCACCCATTTCCAGATATCCGCATCTACTCAGCTTTGAGCAGCCCTTTCATTTCCATTATGCTTTGTTGTACAATATTACACAAAAATGTCCACTAAGAATTCGATACATTATGCAAGACGGATGTATCATGTATATTTTATTGCATTATGGTTCAGGCCTTATACACTCGGGCATTGTTACAATTATTACAAGCAGACATGTGACTGGGGCACTTGCATGAAAAACAGGTATAACTTTTGATTAGATTAGACTGAGCAGCCATAAAAAAAGAACAATGTAATTTTTAAATAATATCTTCGCTTCATCATTATCATCGCTTTACAAGTCTTGCACAGGGTTCCTGCACCATTTTAAAAAAATCCAAACCTGTATCTTTTGGGACTCTTTTAAGACCTCAATGTCCAAATTATGTGTCACAGTCAGGCTGTAAACAGGCCATAACCTGTAGCTGGGTATACAACTATGAAGGAGTACAATAATCCTTACACAGTGATATTTTTACGTGCCACAAATGAGAGTAAAGTGAATCTGTTTTTAATGATATCTTAGACAGAATCTACATATGTACCTTAGCTATCATACTTGTATGTAAAAGATGTTAACAGCTTTATTGCTTTAATCTCATTATATTTTTCAGTAACACACTAATATATGCATGATGCAAGATTCAGTGATTGCATTACAGTTACTATTGTCTTGTTAGGTTCTTCAGTTTTCTGCCGGGCAGATAGAAAGGAAAAGAAAAAATCAACATGCTACAATCAGCTGATTTCAGTTTCTGGTGCTGGGAGGTGAAAAATGGTGTAGTCTTCATTTTTGCAGATAACTGTTGTTTTTACTGCATGAAAGGACAAGCGATAATGAAACGCAAACTGAGTCCAGAATAGAAACACAACTTTGGCTCCTTGCAGCCATCTGCACAGACAGCAAGCTAACACAAAGCTAGCGAAGAACCCAGAGTGATGTTAAAGCTGAGCCAGCCCCAGCCCCGCAGCCAGACACTTCAAAAGGTAGCAAACTCAGGCTTGTAGCATTGTAGCCAACGTTTCTATCTTTCATTTCTATCGTTATGGCCATCACTTTAAAGTTTCTTTGGTCGGATTTTAAACTTTGCTTTGCGTTGTTGGTTTTGTGTTCATATTGTAAAAAGTAAAAGAAAGATTGCTCGTGTTTCTGTATTCAAATAGGGATTTATATTGGTGTGTGGGACTGTAGCCTCAGGCTTATATTTTTAACGAGTAATTATGTGACGATGCATTTCAGGTTATTTTATAGAGTAGCTCTATAATGAGTAGTGTACTTTCTCAATCAAGTAATTAGCTAACATAGTGCATTTCTTTTAAGTAAAGTAATGCGTAATGACCCAAGCATTGGCTGCGACTCTCTTGCAAAAGAGATTTTAAATCTCATCTCGAGTTATTGTAGTTAAATAAAAAGAAAAAAAATCTGAAATACTAAAAGCACAGTTCTCAACTGTTTTGTTAAATTATAAATGTCATGTGCAGCTACAGCTGGTACCAGTAGTGGCATTATTGAGCACTTCCATGAGTCAATCTGTAAAAGTGTGTGTTTAGACTCAGGCTCGAGTATGACAGTGCAATTTACAGTTTTCTTTCTTATTTTTGTCTGTACTCTGAAATGACACTTGAAGCTGTGAAAACATCTGAAATTGTTAATGAAATTAACCAACACTGGTTAACAGTAATTTGGTGATTATCGCTGCAAATGACATGAAAATTGCGATGTTACTAAAAAACTTGAAAAAACATGATGTATAATCTATGTTTTAAGACCAACAGCAAAACTATTATTACGTTTTCTAATGAACTTGCTGGAACCCTGTTGTAAGACTTGCGCAAAGACCCTTTGCTTTTATGTTTTAGTCATCAGGAGCCACGCAGTGTGACGAAGCGCGACTCCAAGCCAAGCAAAGTTTGTCCATTTGACAGAGGCACAGAAAGACAGAAATATTGAGAAACTGCAAAAACTGAGAGAGGCACTGTAATAATCCTGAAAACAGGTTCTGTGCTGTCGAAGCCTGACCTGAACTCCACTGAGGCCAAGGGGACTAATTGTTAATTAAGCAATGGTGATGAAAAAGAGCTCAAGTGTAAATGAATGTGTCAGTCTGAAGGAGCACTCAGACACACCTTTTAGCCCCACAAAGGAAAATCAGCATTATTTTAAACTTGACAGTGCACTCCAGCAGTTCAGAATGGCTGCTTATTATTCATGGTGAAATTGAAGTTCGGATGTTGTTACTCAAAGAGAGTTGAGTAAAAAAAAAAAGAAAACGATAAAAACAAGAAGGAGAAGGAAGATTGGTTATAAATCATGGGAGGCAGTGGAGAAGTCTTGGGCTTTTGGCTGTTGTGTGTGTGTGTGTGTGTGTGTGTGTGTGTGTGTGTGTCGGTCTGCTGTGGAGGTAAAATGAATTGCACCTTGGGGCAAAAAAGGAAAAATCTAAAAAGACTTTTTCTGAAGTTGAACACAAAATCACTGCAACTCCTTCTCTTAACAATATCATCCCAGACTTTTCTGATGTTCAGCTATCAATGATGTAATGCTCGTCATCTATAGCATCTATCCTTTGCCTGCTCCGGTTGCCTTGGGGCAGGACTGGGGCAGGTTTAAGGCAATGTCTCTGAGACTGTCTCTCTCCTCCGTGATCTCCTGTATGTCCTGTTCAATGAGGGACAGACGGCTCTGCTGCTCTTTAGCGGCCGATTGCAGCTTCTGGATCTTTGAGCCTAGCGTTGGGCTCTCTACACTCCCGCGAAGCATGCTCAGACGGCGCGCTGTCTCGTTCAAGATCCGGTGAAATTGCTCCAGTGGCACATCCCCATCTGGAGGGAGGACAGAAAAAGAAAACGCTGCATAACAGACTTGAAAAAGATCAGTTTTTTTAGACTGTGGTTTATTAATGGCTGTCCTACTTCACTTATTCAAACAGCACATAACCCAGCATCGTGACCTAATTGCAGTGATTGGATGATTATTCTCTCAAGCACAGTAGAACTGACCACAAAGTGCAAAACCTCACCTTTCTAATGAATTATACAAATGATTTGACCAAAGAGGACATACAGTAGGTCAGATATATATGTCAGACCTAAAGGAAATGCTGCTCGGACTTGTGCACAGCAGTTATTCGTGTTTTACGGTCTGAGGAGTATTTCCATGTTTAATGAGGCATTAAAAAGCACCGAGCTCTTTAGTGGGCTGATATTTAAGGTATAATGAAAATTTATGGGTTTTATAGACACAGAAGAGCAAAAAGTAGTGACTTACCAATCTTGCTGATTAGCTCAGTTAGTGTAACAGAATAGGCCTCTAGCTGGAGCTTGGCTGCTTCCATATCTTCCTTTACGCTGGCCAGAGACACCCCAGACTGAGAATTATAAGACATGCTCTAGAAACAGTCTTTTAAGCTGCACACAGGATGAACAGATCGATATGCATAGATTTTTTCCTTCAAATATGTGTATGGCTGTGTTAAATACCTCTGAGGTAATCTGGGTGTTAGCTCTATCAGTCAGCAACTCCTGCACTGACAGTTGCTCTAAGGCAGAGTCTATATTAGAGCTAAGGTGAGCAGATGCAGTCCTGGTATGCTTAGCCTGGGTCAGAATGGTTTTGGATTCCTAAACACAAAAATGAGGGAAAGGTTAGCAAATGACTACCGGAAATATTCTGGAATGTTTATGGAAAACCACTAAGAGATCTATGGATCTGTGGATTGTGAGTGCTACTTTAATGTTTGCTTAGCTTTTTATTTTGTATGTTAGCATGCTAACAATTGCCTAATCAGCATTTAAGTACTGCTGTGATCGGCAATATGTGACAGCATCACATATGGCCTTTTTTGATAGTGAGTAAAATTAAACGTCAAAACTGAGTGAAAACATAACAGTCAAACTCCCATCAGTAAAATGAACCTTGTGACCTCGTAGACAAACTTAAGATTTATACCAGCACAGACTTGGCTAATCAAAAGAGCACCATTAGATGTTAGCCTTAAGGCACAGACACTTAGTATCAGCACTTGACAGAACAGCAGTATCATGTGATGAGAACTTGTAGTACAGAGATGTGGCACTCAAGGAATCCTGATGAGATATTTTCTGGGGAATTCTGTAATGTCAGAGATGGCGATCGTTACATTTCTTCCTCCAAAGAATCAATAATCTTCAACTGATGCATGCACACAGCTTGGACTTGGGTTTGTGTAGTGGCTGTAAAGTGCATTGGTGGTTGATCTTGGCTGTGTGTTTATCATGTGAATTAGCACAGTAGCTGGTCGGGTGTTGAAATGAGCCAAATATGCTGATTGTACTAACACTTCGTATTGAGCTTAAATTAATCCTTGGTGTAAAACGTTGCAAAAAAGAAGGAAAAAAACTTATTTCATAGTTTTTTTTTTTTTCATATTTGCCTTGTGATATTATACATGCAGTTTTTATGCCTCAGTGACTATTGAAGTTAAGCTACGGCTCTCTATTAATTCATAGAGTGGGACTTTTAAAGTCAAAATAACTTCCCAGAGTTGTTACTCTAGAAGGCCTTTGGGTGAGATTAACTGGAACATTATTATTTGTGACATCATCTAATCAGAAGCTATACTTTTGAACAAATTAGGAATTTTGTTTTGTGTATCACACAAAAAATGATTGACTTACTGCAAAATTTTTGTCAATTCCACAAATTAGCAATTCTCCAATTAACATGCATCATTTATAATCCCATTTGTTCAGTGTTATGGTTGGAAAAACAAGTATTCACACCTTTACCACAGCATGCGCTTTTTGTTCGGCGTCCTTTGCCGTGCTACTTGAGATGTTGGAGTGTTCCAGAGCTGGTTTAAGCATCTTCTCGGTCTCTGCGACTTTCTTCCTGACATCAGGCAGGATCTTTTCCTCCAAGGGTCTTGCCTTCTTGATTGCAGCCTTGGTCTGCGCTTGTTGACGGGGCCACTGTGTAACCATGCCTGAATGGAGATTCAAGAGGATGGATGTTATTAGGATTAAGGCATAATCAAAGTTGTATTAGATTAAAAAAAATATTTGACTAAAAAGGTCACCGTGTACTGGGTGAATTTAATTTTTTATCCACTCTGTATTACTCTCTACTATTACTGACTGTCCGAGCAGACAAAATAACCTAAGACTCTCTTTATGTTTCATAAATGTCAATATTTAATTAATGAAGTTTAAGCTAGAACGACTCAAAACATTCTGGCTCTTTCTGTTTTTCTACAGAAGCCGCTATTGTGCTCAATACATGACAAATGGGTCAAGGCGTTACAACCGTGATGACATATCTATTATATTAATACACGACTCTCTGGGTCATACAGTGTTTTTTTTTCATCTCAGTACTTGACATTTCAATTTAAGCAAAATAATTTAGTTGTACATTCAACAAAAGCAATAATGTATGTCAAAAAGATAGAGGCTTACGTTCTAGTTGTCTGTGAAGAGAGATTGCTTCTGATTCCACCTCTTTGCCTGTCACAACTGATGACAAAGTCACAACTTTTGCTCCGTGAGCTTGAGTTAGCAGCTTTAGTACAAGAGAAGGAGGATAAAGCAAGAAGTCAGTAAAGTCAAGTGTAGTTTATTAAATCTTTGCAATAATGTTTATTGTGTTTCATGTTATATTTTGTTCAAATATTGTGTTTGTAACAAAATATTCTTCTGTAATTATCTATCCATCCATCCATCTATCCATCTCTTCCTCCCATAGATAGGTTAATTGGAAACACTAAATTGCCCATGTGAGTGCAAATGGTTGTCTGTGTCTATGTGTTAGCCCTGTGACAGACTGGTGACCTGTCCAGGGTGTACCCTGCCCCTCGCCCTAAGACAGCTGGGATAAGTTCCAGCAACCCTGAAAAGGATAAGCGGAAGAGAATGATGGATTGGTATTAGCTGATCTCAAAACGAACAGTGACGACGAACATTACGCATACGTTGTTGACATTGCACGTACCTTACGTCTACGTGCACATTGTTTCTTGTAAATACTTTTCGCTAAACTCTGGGGTCTGTGGAATGTGTTGTCATGCATATCTATAATTGATTACTTTGCCTTGTACAATGAAAATGTAGCTTGCAAAGAAGAAGAACAAAAAATATGTTTATATGACTCTTTTCTTTGGTGTTTAAGGTTTTGCTGTATCACTATACGTAGTGATAGAATGAACATAGAAAGAATAACAATAAATTAACATACATGTCTGTGTTTTAATAATTCACAGAACTGTGCTGTTAACATGGCTAATAACCATTGTTAAAATAAAAACATTCTGAAAATCAATACTAGCAAACACTTAGTGTAGTTACCTTGCTGACGTTGTTCACGCTTTCCATGCTGTTGTTGACTGTCTGTAGTAAAGGCTCCACCACTTCTCTGACCTTAGCAATGAGACCGTCTTGAGTCTGAACTTGCTGGTCCAGTTCTTTTGTCTGTTTTACCAGGGTCTCACCCCACTACACAAGAAAGGGGATAACAAGAAGCAACAGTTCTATTAGAATAAAGATCCTTTTTTTAAATTGCTTTCTCTACTTTTGTTAAACTACCACGTACACAAAGGGCACCTTAGCATATTTCTGGGTCATTTAACAGTGTATTCTGCTCAGACATGCTGCTGTGGTAATCACCCCCCCCCTCCAGAACAACATGTGCCCTGTGAGCAACAGAAGCTGCTAGAATCTTCTCTCCTGTGCCTCAGTGTGCGTCTTTCCTTGCCAAATATTAAATGAGAAAAAAATGAAGTGACATTAACTTCCAATTCCCCATACCTCTGTCTCTATATGAGCCGAGTTAAACAAACCAGAGTGGTTTCTTATATAAGCAGCACCCACACTAATTAGAATAAAATGATTGATTTATTGGTTCAAAATGCAACAGAATATGCTTGAAATCGCAGTGAAGATTAAACTGACCTCTGTTGTAAAGTTGGTTAGATGTTTGGTTTGGTTGAACTGAGTGTGATCAGCCTCCGGATATGGGCTGGCATCTGTCAGAGCCAGCTGATGTAAGGATGATGTGATGTTACCCAAGGCAAGCTTTAAACCAGCAGCTTCTTCCTCCAGGGCCAGCTGTTTGGCTACAGTATCGTTCACCTGCACCGTCAGGTTCTCCTTCTGCTGCTGCATCTGTGTGATTCTAAAATGAAAGAAGTACAGTAAGAATGTATCAAAACATATAATATATTCCCGATAGGTGGGAAACATATAGAAAAGTTTTTTTAAAAGTTCTTGTCTCTGTTCTACACAACCACCTACGTGCACATGCATGCTAAAATGTGCTAGTGCTAACTTCTAGCTTCACATTGGCTTTTAACCACACTTTCCAAGGTGAAAGTCCTCTTCTAAAGCCACTGCACATTCTGTCTCTTTCTTCATTCTCCTCTTACAAGTCTCATGTCATAAACTAGATTTTTCTACAGCCTGCAAACGGTTCCCAGATGCAGTGCAGGAGTTCCCTCACTGAACATTTACATAAAAATATGGTGATACTGATATCAAAACATGATTGACTTACTGACTGACTGACTGAAGTCCAAAACATGTAGTCTATTTCAGCTTTAATGTAAAATATGCTGGGTCATTTATAAGTGTTCATATAGTGAGATACTATACTACAGGATCATTCGAATGTCACATATACTGTAAATCATTTTCCAAATAATAAGATGATCACAGCGTGCAATACTGAATGCAATAACAATCTTGAAACTAATTTAAAAAGTGCTTTTTTAATTAGTATGTGAGACAAATGTTTTTCTTTTGAATCGCGTGGACACAAAAGCTCATACAGCAAAATTTCAGCCTTCTGTATTATCCTGTTTAATAAAAAGCCAACTTAAAAAGACAAAAAGACAAAATAAAAAAATGGGTTCCTTATATACAACAGCAACTTTATACTGCTGAGGGATAGCTCAGTAGGTAAAGTGATCACCCCACGATTGGAAGGGTTGGGGGTTCAAATCCACTGAACGGCTACCATGAGGTACCCCTGAGGAAGGTACCGTCCCTACACACTGCTCCCCAGGTGCTAGATTGGTGGCAGCCCACTGAGTTGATGGGTTAAATGCAGAGAGAAACATACATTATTATTTATTTTGCAACCTATCTGACCCAGACACATTATCATATAATGCTGTATATTATGATGTATCAGTTGCAGAAACTGATGCACCAGTGAAATTAGTGTTAAAGAGTTTCCTTGTGTTTTAGACTTTATTTGCAAGAATGTACAGGACGTATACAGAGGTCCTCGTTTCTAAATTTAAAAGAAAGACGACCCACGCAACAACTTGATGTCTCTCCCCTTCTCTCTGCTGTCTCAGAAACCCCCCTACTTCCTGTAGAGCTGACTTCACTTTGCACTCAGCAGTAGGAGGTACTTGGCAGAGGGAGAGGAAATGGTAGGTGACATCAGTGTTAAAGAGGTGTGTTTGACTTTGTGACTTATACTCTTTCTTTGACCAGCATGCAGGTTTGCTGCTTGCTGTGGCTCAGTCACACTAGAGCAAAAATAGGACTTCAATTGAGAATAAGAGAATAAGCAAACATTTGCTGTTTAATTTATAAAACTGGACAGTTTTCCAACAAATGTCAGTCAGTGTGAAGCAGTCTGGAGTTCGTTTTACTTGTCTCTTTGCAATAGAGGACTGAACTCAGTCGGTTACCAGCCAGTTGTATTCTGGTTATATTTCTGTTTATAGAGAGGTGTGCCTATGTCATTTTGCATTAAAGTATCTGTCCTGAAGCATCTATTTGTGGAGGAACTTCTGCTTCTGTCCATGAGGTTCTGACGGCAGTCCGAGTACATTTTAAATGTTAATTTCTGTGTCTGTAGATCGATTGATTCCCCTATTATTGCAAACAAATTGGAACTGATTACCAATGACTACATTCAACTGCAAACTCACAGTTGATGCGTGAAAGTCGTTTTAAAAAGTGCAAATAACTGCAGATGGTCACAGATCTAATCCCCATCTTCCAGGAAAACATTTCAGAGTGGTCTTAAGTTAAATGCAATAGTTTTGGTTGTGTCCAGTCTCCAACCATTGTTTATCCTGATGTGACTGTAGCATTAGAAATGGTTTGAGATGGTTCGAGCATCTCTGTAAAGCTGTTCATAAAATTCTTCCTTTGCTCATGGTTTCGCATCCCGTCCATGTTTATTGTTATTTCCCCAACATTAGAGAAAAGAGCTTGTATTGTTTATAGAGCTTTCACTCCATTGCAGCACTGTGCACAATATCTTGAGAGTGACATGAACACATGAATTGCTTGTATGTAGTATAGTACATACAGCAATAGTATGAATGCGCTGTGTTATCAGAGCAGAGCTTTCAGAATGGCTTTATATATGTGTGTGTCACTACACTTTTATTCTCCTCAGTCAA